CAAGAAAAATGTACTGCTGCAAGACTTCAACCAAGAGATGAGTGTAACAGCAGATATGTAAATTCTATTAGCAATTTATTGATTGATATTTTTAAATACACAAGACATAAAATATACCATTCTAGCCATTTTAAGTGACAAAGTACATTAAGTACCTTCACAATGTTATACAGTCATCACTACTATCCATCTCCAGAACTTTTCCATCATCTCAAACTGAAGTTCTGTACACTCATTAAAGATTGAATGGTAATTTTGAGGAATCTATATATTATTTTCAGTAATTATGTTTTAGACTTGTCATGAGTTTCTAAGGGATTGCCATTGGGTTTCAAGAAAAAAAAATTAAGAATAGTCTCAAGATTTTTACCTTTAAAATGAGGCCATACACTGAGGTAAGGAATTCTGGACTAAGAGTTTGGTGTTTATGTGGGGTAAGGTTGCAGAATGACTATCAAAGATTCTGTTGAGGGTATATTGTATTTGTCTCAGTTATTAGATAATCAGATGGAACCTTCAGGCAGGCAGTTTTATGTACTAATCTGGCACTTCAGGGTCAGTACTGGAAATGCAAATTTGATACACATAACTACTTGCAATAAAATAATGTTTAAAATAATGGAACTTAATGAAATTATTAGAGTATATGTATGTCACTTTGTCTATCCATTTATGTTGTGTATGAGACTGAAACTTGGAGAATCCCAACATTGGAGAAAAAAAAATTGTACCTAGAAGGCACCAGTACTGTAGATTAAAGAAGGGATTCTGATGTTGGAAAAAAAAACAGTAAAAATATGGATTTTTCTAAGTCATGAAAATAAAGTGTGTTGGGAGGGAAGGAGTGCTCTATCTCCTGAGAAGTTAATCCCAGTAAGTAACAGTGGCAATTGGATCTGGCACGCTGGAGGTCATCAGTGAACTTGGCAAGAGTAATTGCAGGGAGTGGGGGAGATGGAAGCCTGTTTAGGTTGGTGGAGAAGAAGACAACAGTTGCCATCTCTGTTTGCTCACCTGTCCGTAACACAATCCAGAGATTTTATTATAAAGGAAAATAGTAAGATGGGACAGTAAGTGGCAGTGGCTTTAGGAGACTCAATCATAACATAAGGAGAAGGAGATGGTGTAGGAGAAGGTAAAGACACTTTCTGAGGGAAATCCATGAGAAGGTGAAAGTGGATCAGAGCCCCAGTAGAAGAGTTGGTCTGGAATAGGTGCAGGGACTCTTCATCCAACATAACTGGAGGGAACTCATGACAAATTGGAAGGTTG